ATTACGACTATTATTATATTTTAATTTTTATTTTAGTCCACCGTTGTAACAAAAAATTAAGAGAATTACTACTCACATACATTTATATGACGGGCATTGATAGTGCAGCAAGTGGTATATTGATCAGCTTACTATTATGCTTTAGAATAAACATCTCGTGCATTACAACAGCTCCATTTCTCAGGAAATTCACAAACAAAGATCAAGATCTTGAGGCTTTCCTGAGAAATAATGGAACCCTAGCTCGTAAAAGATGCAGTTATCCACAAGTCAAGAAGATGTCGAATTCATTCAAAGGAAAGCTGGGAAAAGGAGGTTGTGGAAGTGTTTACAAAGGGAAGTTACCCGACAACCATCTTGTTGCTTTCAAAGTGCTTAATACCTCCAAAGGAAACGGCCAAGAGTTCATCAATGAAGTTGCAAGTATCAGTCGAACGTCTCACGTTAATATCGTCACACTATTAGGGTTTTGTTTGGAAGGTGAGAAAATAGCCTTGATTTTCGAGTTCATGTCGAATGGAACTTTGGAAAAATTCATATACAGAAAAAGCACTTCCCATGATGATGATGGTCGGGTCTTGACAGTGGAATACTTGTACCGAATCGCGATCTGAATAGCTCGGGGGCTTGAATAATTGCACCTCGGCTGCAACACTCGCATCCTGCATTTGGACATAAAACCTCATAACATTCTTTTAGATGATGTATTTTGTCCGAAGATCTCCGATTTTGGGCTTTTGAAACTATCACACAGGGATTTAAATAACGTTCGCGGTCACGTTTTCGGTCGCGTCGCGTTTATTGCGATTGCGGATATAAATGATGCCATCGCGGTCACTGTAGGTGTCGCGGTCGTGAATTTATTTAAATTTTACACAACTTATCCTAAAACATAATAATTTTAATTATAATGATTCATTTTAATGATTTTTATAACGTTTTCTAAGCGAAATGACATATATAAATATATAATATAGTTTAACCAAATATAAAATTTTAAAAACCCCACAATAGAATAAGATAATTAATGACGAGTGATGACATTGTGAATACATTATTATTTAAAAGAAATAAGACGTATAATATAATTAAATAATATAAAGTAAAAAATTTAATTAACTATTTACTCGGATTCATTTGATTTCAAGCTCTGTGCTTATGGAGTACCGAATGCCTCGTGTTTACTTCGAAATAGTAACAACTGCGTAAACACAAGTTTACATTCTAAAATAAAGATTAAATTATAAATTCTAAAAGATAAGGATAACAAATTAACATATCCCTTAAAAATATATTTTAGAATTTATTTAAAAAATAAAATAAAAAGAGGGAAGGAAATGGGAGTGGGAGTGGACGACCCAAACTACTACCTTTTTTTTTTGAGTTAAAACCCAAACATAACATGTTAAAAGAAAATTCCAAAGCTCTTCTCTCTAATTCTTTCCATCGTTTAATTCTCTCCAAGTCCAAATCTCTCAATTCTCAACCTTTCTGTAAATTATCTCTAAGTCCAAATCTCCCTATTCTCAACCTTTCATTTTCACATAATTTCATCGAGCGTCCACTCAACCATATTCTTCGAAGGCGTCACTGTGCGACAATAAACACGGTCGTCTAAGTTTCTTTTCCCAGATGTTTTTTGGGTGAGAATTCCAACTCTTTTAAGTTTTTTTTGCAGTAACTTTTGAAAAATGGTAATATCATCCATTATCGGTGCTATTTACTGATACACGTTAAATTGCGGGCGCGACGGACCGCTATCAACGTGAATCCGTTGCCTTTCGGACGACGGTGCAACCACGGAATAACGGCTACTATTACGTTTGCGTCCCACTATTTGAAACCTTGATGTCACGGGACCGATAGTGTTGTATCGATGATAGAAGCAAGAGGAACGATCGGTTACATTGCTCCGGAAGTGTTTTGTAGGAACATTGGAAGCGTTTCGCATAAATCAGATGTGTACAGCTATGGGATGATGATTCTTGAGATGGCTGGAGGAAGAAAGAATATAGATGTCGGGGTACATGAGACGAGTGTGATATATTTTCCACATTGGATTCATCAGAATCTTAAGCAAGGCAATATTGAGCCGGAATTGGTGGGACTTCTAGGTGAAGGAGAAACGGAGATGCTTAATGGGAAAAAAAGCCAAATCACCGTTGGTTTATTTTACATAAAAAATTGAATGAAAAATAAAGAAAATAAGAATAATAATGGAATTTCGTTAATTTGCTAGTAAATCATTAATATATATGTATATTATGTGGTGACGCACATATAGGGGCATGGGATGGGGTAGGAGAATTTTATTCATTCCACTGTTATACTTACATTGCCATAGACACTGTCAAACAAACAAATAAAGAATTTTCAAAAAGAAAAGAGAATCAGCTCAAAAATTTGAAGTATTCATTCAAGACTTATCCTACAAATATATATATATGATAATATTTACACACATCCCATGTACCATTCAATGTATGTATGTATATATATATATGCCTGGAAATTTAGAAACTTGGTGTTGTGTTTGTTAAAACTGAAAATTAGGGAGAATTATACTTCATTCCTCATACTTTCAATTACAACAAATAAGTCCTTTATATAAACAATTTTCTGTAACTAACTCAATAACTGATATCTAACAAACATAACAAACTAACATAATGTATAACTATATTTAAAATCAGTTAACACTTTCTACACTCCCCCTCAAGTTGGTGGTTGTAAAGAGGTCTTTAAACCCCAACTTGGAAACTAGATAATCATGTTGATGCACACCCAAAGCTTTAGTCATCAAATCTTCTTGCTGCTCCCCTGTCTTGATGTGTTCTGTTTGTATCAAGCCTTCTTGAATCTTCTCTCTGACAAAGTGACAGTCTATCTCAATATGTTTAGTTCTCTCATGGAAAACTGGATTTGCTGCTATTTGCAAGGCTGCTTAACTATCACACATTAGCTTAGCTGGTGCTATATTTTTCAAGCCCAATTCTGCTAACAAACCTTTTAGCCATACTATTTCTGCTGCCGTCCCTGCCATACTCCTATATTCTGCTTCTGCAGAGGAGCGTGCAACAGTGTTTTGCTTCTTGGACTTCCAAGAAATTAGAGACATTCCAAGCTTGATGCAGAAACCAGTTATTGACCTTCTAGTCATAGGGCAAGCAGCCCAGTCAGAGTCACAATATGCAATCAATCTGCATTAACTCGTAGCACTTAGTAAAATCCCCTGTCCTGGATTTTTCTTGATATACTTTACCACTCTCAAAGCAACTTCAAGATGTGATTGTTTTGGTTTGTGCATAAACTGACTAAGAAAATGAACAGCATAGACAATATTTGGCCTTGTGTGAGTCAGATATACTAGTCTACCTATAAGCCTCTGAAAAACAGATTTGTCTTGCAACAATTGTTCATTGCTACAAACTGCTTCATCATACTCAGCTGTAGTAAACTTCTTATTCTGCTCAAGAGGTGTCAAAGTTGGTTTAGCTCCCCCTGCTCCAGTTTCTTTAATTAACTCTAAAGCATACTTTCTTTGATTTAGCACAATTCATTCCTCTGATCTCAGAACCTCTAATCCTAGAAAGTATTTCAACTCTCCAAGGTCTTTCATTTTGAAATTCTTATTCAAAACGTGCTTCAGTTCTGCTATCAGTTTCTCATTACTCTCAGTGATTAAAAGATCATAAACATATACTAACAAAACAACTATGGCATTCCCTTATTGCTTAGTGAACATCGAATAATCATATTTGCTCTGCATGTAACCAGCTGTAACTAATGCTTCTGATAGTTTCAAATTCCATTGCCTAGAAGCTTGCTTCAGTCCATAAAGTGATTTATGCAGCGTACAAACCTTAGACTCCATTTGGCTGCAAAAACCATCAGGAAGCACCATATAGACTTCCTCAACTAAGTCACCTTGTAGAAATGCATTATACACATCCATTTGATAGAGAGGCCAAGAAAATATGGAGGCAACATCAAGAACAGTTCGAACAGTGACTAGTTAGCAACTGGAGAGAAGGTATCCACAAAGTCAACTCATTCTCTTTAATTGAATCCTTTGGCAACAAGGCGAGCTTTGAAACGCTCAACATCTCCATTAGCCTTGTACTTGATTCTGTATACCCACTTACAACCTATTGGAACTTTCCCTTCATTGCTTGGATCCACAAAGGGTTGGTTATGGCCTCAGTATAAGTTTTGGGTTCACTTAAATGAGAAGTAGAAGATAAGAAGCTTTGAGTTTTATAAGGTAAGTGAGAATAACAAATGAAATTGGAAATAGGATACTTACTTGGAAGAGATGAAGATTGGTAGGATTGAACATAATCATGTAGCCAATTAGGAGGTTTGATAGTCCTAGTAGACCTTTTATTAGGTAAACACTGATTTTGAGGTAGATGAGGTGAACTAGGACATGGACTTGAAGATGGAATTGGTAAACTAGTTGAAACTTGAGGTGATGTAGAAGAAGAAGAAGAAGGAGAATAAGAAGGTACAAAGGGTGAATCAGAATGAATTGAATTAGATGGTACAGAAATTTCAAGAGTAAGAAAATTAGAATCAACAATGAAAGGTTGAGCAGGAAAAAAAGGAGAAGAATTAGTTAATGGAAATGAAAAAGAAAAGATAGTCTCATGAAAGACTACATCACGATTGACAAAAAAAGATTTTGTATGAAGATAAAAAAGAAGATAGCCCCTTTGAGTTGATGAATAACCCATAAAAACATAAGGTAAGGCCTTTGGAGAGAATCTATCTTTATAGTTAACTTTGGTTGCATAGCAAAGATAACCAAATACTTTCATACAAGAAAGATTAGGTGATTTCTTATAGAAAGCTTCAAATGGACTTTTCCAATTTAGAACAGTAGTAGGGAGCCTGTTAATGATATAACAGGCTGTTAAGACACACTCACCCCAAAATTTGATAGGAACATGAGAATGGAATCTAAGAGCACGAGCTACCTCTAAAAGATGTTTGTGTTTTCATTCAGCAACCCCATTTTGTTGGGGTGTGTGAACACAAGAGCTTTGGTGAACAATACCAAGGGATGAAAATAGTTCAGAACAATTATCACTAAAGAATTCACCACCATTATCACTACGAACATACTTAACCAAAACAGAATGATGAGTTCGAACAAGAGTAAAGAATTGCTTAAGAAAAAGGATTGCATCACTCTTAAGTCTCAACAAGTATACCCAAGACAACCTAGTGTGATCATCTACAATAGTCAAAAAAGACCTATAACCACTGTGTGTTGAAATCCTATAGGGACCCCACAAGTCAACGTGAATTAGATCAAAGGGTTTAGGTGATCTAGATGAACTAATAGGAAATGGTAACCTAGATTGTTTTGCAAGAGGGCAGACAGAACATTGCTTAACAGAATTCTCATTTAAAGGAACAGAACATAAAAAAGGAGTTTTATGCATTTTAACAGTAGTAGCATGCCCTAAACGTGCATGCCAAAACATTGTATTATTATCAGATGAAACAGACATACAACCAGAACCAACTTTTCATTTAGATGATGACAAATCAGAAGTAACATTTGTAGATGACAAACCAGAAATAAGGTATTGATGAACAAATAGAGACCACAAGCTTCCCTACCAATCCCCCTCATCTTCCCAGTGAAGAGATCCTGCAAAATGCATAAATGAGGATAAAAATAATACTGCAATTGAGGTCTTTAGTGAATTTTGACACTGACAACATGTTATGATTAAAATGAGGAACATATAGGATATTTTGGAGAACATCAATTGAGTTAAAATGAAAACTGCCAGTATGGGTGATTGGAATAGTTTTACCAGTGGGTAGATGGACATAACTAGGCTCACATGAAGTTAGAGATTGCAAACAATGACTTTCAGACACCATATGGTCAGTAGCCCCTGTATCAAGTATCCAACGAAAGGAATTAGAAGAAGCAAATGAGCACATGGAAGCAATACCTGCCAGATTAACTGCTGCATCAGCAGAAGGAGTTTTATTCAAGAGCTCAAGAATTTGATGATATTGAGTTGTTGTGAAAACTGGAGCAGGAACAGGATTAGCCGTGCGTGATTCACCAGAACGAGACTCATGATCGGAATCAGCCAGTGAGGGACTAGAGACAAGAGCTGCCTGAGAATTCCTTTTTTTGGTGAATTTGAAGTCTGGAGGAAACCCGATTAGACGATAACAGTTTTCTCGTTTATGGCCTTTTAGTTTGCAGTAATCACAAACGCCAGTGAACCGCTTTCGAACAGAATTTCCAGACGCATTAGAGTACATGGCATCAGCATCCAAAGCACCAGATAACTGAGCTCTTTGTGCTTCTTCTTGCACAATCATTGAGTAGGCTTGATTTACAGTAGGTAGAGGCTGCATAAGTAAAAACTTGACTATGAACAACCGAGTAAGTTTCATTAAGTCCCATAAGAAATTGCAACAGCCTCTGTTGTGCAATATGTTTAGAATTTTGCTGAGATGCCTCGCAAATATAGGATGAAAGAGGAACTAGGGCATTAAATTCATCCCACAACAATTTCAATTTGGTAAAGTAAGTGGAAATTGTTGAATCACCTTGATGTAGAATAGTTATTTCACGATGGAGAAAATAAATTATGGATCCATCGACCTTGTCGAACCGGTCCTTCAAATCATTCCAGACATGAGCGGCGCTTGAAGCGAAGACGATTCCAGCCGAGAGATCACTGCTCACGGTGTTGAGAATCCAGGACAAAACAAACGCATTGCAGCGTTCCCATTGAGAGTGCAAAATTTCATCATAATCTTCTTTGCAGGAAGTACCATCAACAAGACCTAACTTGTTCTTAGCCAGCAACGCGATTCTCATAGACCGGCTCCAAATGTTGTAATTTTTGATGCCAACTAGACGATGTGAAACCAGAACGCCGCCCGGCGTATCAGATGGGTGCAGAAATAGAGGGTGATTGAAGTCGAGCATGGCGGTAGCAGCAGGGGTGTCAGAGGTATCCATCTCGTCGAAGAGAATAATCGCACAAAGTAATACCTAATTGAGAAGAGAGGATTATGGATTGAAGGAATACACGGGAAGAGTGAGGACGGCCCAAGAATACCTTGGGCTAAACTGATACCATGTTAAAACTGAAAATTAGGGAGAATTATACTTCATTCCTCATACTTTCAATTACAACAAATAAGTCCTTTATATAAACAATTTCCTGTAACTAGCTCAATAACTGATATCTAACAAACATAACAAACTAACATAATGTATAATTATATTTAAAATCAGTTAACACTTTCTACAGTGTTTGTAGTATAACTGCCATTGCTAACCCATTTTATCATCACAGAATCTGGAGAACGAGGCATCGGTCCACTCTTCAACAACCCACCTTCCTCCTCCGCCGTAAACATCTCCATTTGTACGACATTTCCTTTCTTGTAATCCTCATTCTTTATCCCCATCAACGCCTCCAACACTTGTGCCATCGTCGGCCTCATGTCCTTCTCGTCTTGCAGGCACCGGAACGCCACCTCCGCCACTCTCGTTATCGCATTCCTAACCTTGTTGTTCGATTCGAACCCGAGGGACGGATCCACTAGCTCATGCAATGCTCCATTTTGAATCTTGTTGATCGCCATGTTCCGCATGTTGATCTCGTGGCGGTGCCTTGTGATGTCGACCGCCGCTTTCGATGATATTATCTCGATTAGTACGACGCCGAAGCTGAATACGTCGCTCTTGCTAGTAAGCTGGTAGCACTGATGGTATTCAGGGTCGACGTAACCGGGAGTCCCTTGCGGAGCGGTGGAAACATGTGTGACATCGGACGGAAAGAGTCGGGACAGTCCGAAATCTGCGACCTTGACATGAAAATCCTTGTCGAGGAGGATGTTGTTGGTTTTGACATCACGGTGGATGGTGTCCGAAGCATGGAGATATCTCAATGCATCTGCAGTTTCTATGGCAATCTCCAACCAGATGTTCCAAGAGAGTGCCCCTGGTTTGGCACGGTCACCATGAAGATGGTCTGCAACAGTGCCATTCGGTATATATTCGTATACGAGCAAGAGTTCCCGACTGTGCCTCGATGTACTTCCGTAAAGTGAGACGAGATTTTGATGGCGCAACCGAGTTAGAATCTCAATTTCGTTCATGAATTGCTCAACTCTCTTGTAGTTGTTTTATACAAACGTTAACAGCAACAACTCGACCGTCTCGAAGTTTGCCTGGTGAAGAAAGACGGAAATGAAAATCGATAGACTTTTCGACAAACCGATGATTGACATTCGAGTGTAAAGTTTTTCTTACCATAATATACAGTTCCAAAGCCTCCATCACCAAGTTCCCTATCGGAATCGAAATTGTTGGTAGCTTCTTCAAGTTCCTTATAGGTGAATACATGGACGCAAGCAAAGCTATCACCCTTCTCAGAATCGACCACTGAAGAGCGGTCCAAAGAGTTCTTGCTGGTAAGGAAATATGGCTTGAAGATCCCTTTACCGCGACGACGTCGTAGCCAGAAATAGAAGACAACACAGCTGATTAGTATTCCTCCAGCAGCGGCACCGAAACCTGCATACGTTTCATATCGAAACTTCATTTCATTTCAGTGGGAAAAAATGCATGAAGCAACCGTCTAAGAATGAAACAGAGGAAGATCAGGGAATCATATTACCGATGAGCAGCTTTCTTTTCCAACTAACATCATTATCTGAAATACAAAAAAATATGAAGTTAAATATATATATATATAACTTGCCCATGAAGTTAGTGGCAACAGCCAAGGCAATAATGCAAATGAAAGATAATTGATAACTTGCCTCTCAAGTAAAACTGATTAAGGAAATCTAAAATGAAGAAAAATAACAAAAAAACATGAAGTCATGCAAGGAAGCATTGGTAGAGTTAGAATGTATGCCGTTTGCAGTTACCATCGTTGCAGGTCTTAGGATGAGGTCCGTCTGAGCAAAAGCAAACGAATTCATGAGTATAACCAAAACCGCAACGGCCTTCACTTCTCTTACAGTTGCTGCAACTATGTGCAGTCCAGTTCAAAACGAACCCCAACTTCAAAACATCGGTATAATTCATTCCTAATAAGCTAACGAAACTAATATCATCGTTGACATACACGTGGGATTCGATCAGAGTTCGGCATGACTCAATCGAGTAATTAGTATTCTCCAAAGCTTCTTTGTGGAAAACAGCAAAGGAATGGAATGAAGTATTGCTAGCACAACTTACTGGATATGTATGGTACGTATGTTTCCCCTCACAATTGTATAAAAAGTAAAGATTGACATTATCAGGACTAAGGCTAAACGGAGTTCGATCGAGACTAACATTTTTCCGGGGAGTCGGACAATGATCCTCATGAACAACAGCGTTGACAACAAGCAATGAATTGTTGTTGTAAAATATATCTCTGATAATGTAAGTTTCCTCAGAAATTTTGAGTATAGGATCTTTCTCTTTGCAGGTGATCTCGAAGTTCGGATAGCCACAAAACGATTCTTGTTCATCGAAAATCCAAAAAGGGTAGCTTATATCGGGACCATTACCACAGCTTCGAGGCATACAAGCTTCGAAGTGTAAGTCGGCGGACATGGTTCCGGTTGCCATTGCTAAGGTGATCAAGAAGATGATCATTACATAGGGAAATGATATAAATTTTATCAGCTTTTGTGGATCCATTTGAGGAGAAAGCAAAAAGGGTAGTTTATTGTTGTTTAGTGTACAACTTCCTACCTAGATTGACTATACTATATTCAAATCAATGGTGTCGGTTTACCTGATCTCATGCATCCATTAGGGAACTCTATGGACCAATAAACTATGCATTTTTTCAAATGATTTGGTGGCTCCTACCCTTTTAATTGCTTCAATGGAAGCCAACTTATGCCCAAAATCCATTACAAATATAATTCGTTCTACAATAATAATAATAATAGAATATTTAAAAAAAATACACTAAACTGCCCTTTATAATCGAGTGCAAACAGATCCACTAAGTTTAAGAATGGATAAGTCTTAAAATTTGAATTTTTTAAAGTAATTATCTATTTTATTAATTATGTACCTTCTAAAATTTTATTTATATCTATTCATATAAAACTTTTACGTGATTAATAGATATATTTGTATTCCTTCTTAAAAATATTTATGAAACCGCTGGGAAATCTTATTTGACAGGGAAAAAATGTCTATACCTACCCATTACTAAATGGTGTGGAATAAGTTTGAATTAAAACAGTTTCGGTTTCCATTCGATGTGGGAAATGATGGGTCTAAAGCATTGGAAACATGTTCTTCAGATTTGTCAACCTAAGTAAGAAACTTGAAGATAGAGAAAAGAAAATTTGGAAAAATGTTTGTTGTTATTCAAGGCTGCTTTGAGAGGAATTGACGGATTCAAAAGTTGGACATTAACGGAAGCTGCTGATGAAACACCGGGAAATGTTTTGAAGGTGGCCCCGCCGTGGAACTAAACGTCAAAATGATAGGATCATGTTAAGACCAAAAGCCTGTCTGTTATTGGCCGTAAAAAAGAGGGTGTAAAAGCAAGAAAAACTGGTACCATTAATGGGTTTTCCTCCATGGAAAGGAAAGGAAGAAGATGACATCCATTCATGGCGGTCGGAATATAGTTTTTTTTTTAATGTTTTTATTATATCATCTAAATTTAAAATTCGTGATTGTTACTCCTAATAATAACGTCTACAAGACAATAGGTATAGTTTTAAAGAAAAGTAGACAGTAGAAATTTGCATGGGATTGAAAGAAAGAGAAAGGAAGGCAGGTGGCTGGTGAAAGATACTGGTAGAAGATGATAGCGGCTTAAGTTTCAAATGTCTGGGTCTAAACGCTATTTCACCTGCAACCGAGAATTGTTTCAAGACCAAGTCCAAATTCAAAGTCGTTGCCTAAATCAACTCTACACTTTCTTTTGAACACCTTTTCGTATAAGAAATTGCAAATTAGGCCAACATAAATCAGCTGAAAATATTAAATATTCGATAATGTTATGATAAGTATAAAAATTCGAATCTCATTCGTCTATTTATTCAATAAGATGATACACTAAATTACTTAAATAATAATATGTGTTCAAATCTTAATGTTGTGAGAAAGTAGACTGAATTTAATGAATACCAAAATAAAATTTTATAATACTCTATCTAAATTAATCTGTCAACGAATCTAAATAACGATATGTAAACGCAAAACTAAAACACTGCAGATAACTAATACGATGTGATATATTAATAAACCTATAAGAGGCCGAATGAAGAAAATAATAAGACAGAAGATCTAATCCCGCAAATGTTTAAAAAATGTAAAATTGATTTTTTTTTTAGTATAAAAATATGATATTTCTATTAATTAATTAATATAAATATGATTTCAATAAAAAATAACTATGTATAAACATATTGATCGAATTTCTTTAATGATTATTTTTCTCTCGCAACATGATTCACCTCACTAAATGTAACCCTCTAGACTCGACCAATGCATTACGACCAGATCCAACAGATTACGGTAAAATTTTTCTAATTTTTTTTTTCAATATTTTAAAACCATATTACAAATAAACATCTTTAAAAATATAGTTGATAACATTAAAGTTTAATTCCAACAATTAAAGTCGTAAGGACTGAATAAAATATTCCATAATTAGCATCGAAGCAAATCTAACATCATTAACAAAAGCAACATACATCGTAAAACAAGTATTTTCAAAATATAGGCACATGCCACCCAAAATAAATGCAACTCGGAAGATAAAAATATTACAACAAAATAATCATGTACGAATGCGTCGATCCTCCAAGTGCGAGTCCGGGTCGCCTATTAAAAAGTATATAAATGGGGAAAGTTGGGGGAGTGAGCTAGGGAGCTCAGTGTGTTCCAGCAGTGCAAAATAAAAATACAGTTAAGTTTCAAAATCGATTCATTATCAAAGTTATGAAAATAATAATAGAGTTGTAGTTTAAAATATAGAA